CTCATGTTGCCTAATTCTTGCCTTAGCGACTGCGTTTACAAGAAGTTGTAATCCGCAAAACCAGCAGATTCATCGCTGTCCGAGTCCTCGCTGCTCTTGTCATCCACGTTGATTGTGTTTTCAGCACTTTCACTCAAAATATTTTCCGCAACTCAGATTTATGAATAGGTTCTCTCGTGCTGGTAGAGGGCAGTGATTTGTTACCAGAGCTGCATTCAGAACAGTGGAGAAGTCTGCACATATCTGGATTGAACCATTGGCCTTCTTTACCACAACGATTAAGGGGCCGCCCAGGCTGAGTATGAGATCGGGGATAGGACGCCTTCGTGTTCAAGACGTTCTAACTCAGCGTCAACCAGCGGTAGTGATGCATATGTGACCGGTCATTTTGGAAGGATAACCGGTTTGGTGTCCGGCATAAGGCAAAGGGTGGCCTGTGTCGTAGAACAGTGTCCTAATCCAGGTTAATAAACCGTGTTTTCCTGATTGATGATGACCGCGGTATTTTCGCAAGTTGTGTTCGACAAGTTTAGGGCATTGCAGATGTAGCTGATCGAGATATCGGCCAAACCCAATTGTTCGAACCAATCCAGTTCAAGGAGGTTCAGGTTGGCGTTGAGGACATAACACTTGCCGGTGAAAGTTGTTCCGCGGAAGGAAACACAGCATTGCATTTGACCGCGGAAGCGAATTTCACCGCCGTAGGCACTGATTGCCGTTTCAGAGGTGTCCCTGAGTGGAGGACTTCCGATGGAGCGCCATTGGGTTTCCGAGATGAGGGTACCGACCGAGGCTGTGTCTAGCTGCAGACGAACAAGATGACCACTGATGAGGTCGGTTGTATACATCGCCTGCTACTGTGAAGTGTCTTAGGGGATGACCCGTATGCTGAGGGATGAGATGGTGGGGCTGGCTGGTGGACTTGAATTTTGACCTATTCTTTGTGTGAAGGTGAGGGTGCCGTCCACTCCTGTTAGACGGAGATGATCTGCAGTATCCGTCCTTGTGGCACTTGGCTTTGCATCGCTGGCATGGATGCTGCTTGTAAGAGCAGAACTTGACAATGCCAGGCTCCACAGTGCTAACACGCAGAATGCGGAGTGTCCATTGATCTCCTTCGTCGATTTGTGGCGGCTGATACTCCATTCGTTTCGGTTGATGAGGGCTGGGAGGGCCAGAATTGGGAGATGGTTTGTTGATACGCTGGACCATGTTGACTTCGGTTGCACTGCGGCCGCCAGCTTGAACCATTCTGGAGTCATGCAGCGCGCTTCTCCAGTGTAGGCGTTCATCGCGGATAGTGTCCAGCGTCACAGAGTGATTTCGGTGAATCAGGCGTAGCAGCCGCGTACGCAGATCCGTTTAATTAGGGACTTGAAGGCTGCATGTGAGAATGGGAGTTTTGAGCTGGTCATCAGTCATTGACATGAATTGACTTTTCTCGCACTCTCGATTGACCACTGCCAGATGGTCAAGGAAGTCGTCAAACTCTCCTTTTGCGAGTTTGAGGCATTGGTACCGGGTACGGAATAAGGAAGTGCGTTCTCCAAACATACGCTCGAGATTTTGAACGGTTTCTCCAGAAGTAAAGTCGAGTGAGGATTTGGGGACGATGGTTTCTGTGTGTCTCTTCAGTACAGCTGGACCCAGTTTGCGGGTAATTAGTCTCACCTTCGATGCCTCATCCTGGGACGCGAGATCGACTAGGAACAGGTCTTCGTAATGCCGATACCAGGACTCAAACACTACACCGTTCTCCGGATCATGGGAAAACTCCGAGATAATGTTGGTGAGGCCGTCAATTGACGGCGTGCTGGCAGGAGCGGCCTGAGACGACTGGCGATCTGCAAAATATTGACACTAGCCCCTCGAGTAATTCTTCCATCCCTATGTCACTCATCTCAATAAAATCTCACTTCCGTCGCCAAACTTGTTACGTTTGCCCGTAACAACAAGGAAACCACTCAAATAACGGTACTAGATCCCCTGCTGATGCTAGAACCGACCTTCCCAGGCTAATACAAGAGCAAGACCAGAGCTCGTGTAGAGAGCTTTATTCACGTCAGCCAAGTACTGAGAAGAGAAGCATCGAATGTGACACTAAATCAAGTCACGGTTGAACTTTACTTGATAAAAGGCGTGACCAAACAAATGTTAGTGAAGCAATGTAAATAGCATCAGAAACCAATCTTTTGAAATCAAGGATCACCAACACGGTCTTTGCTTAAAACCGTCCTCCTCATACAGAACGTGTTTTGGATCTGCAGCAGCAAATAAGAACCAATGGTGGTGGCGAATTCAGTTAACGGTAAATGTCATCACCAAATATAATTCCTATATTTTGCTTAGTAAACACTGTTCTTCTGTTTCCACGATAATTTCAATTTGAATGATAGTTTATTTCACTATTTGACACGCATGTATATTCAAGAGATTGACCTATTGAAGCAAATTGCTATTTCGGGATTGACTAACTGGATGAAACTGCGTAGTTGTGCGAAAAACTGCCTTCAAAGTCACGAGCAAAGGTGAAGGTGCATACGGCAGTCGACTGCAACTCTGGCCAATGAATACGCATCACCCAAAACAGGGCCCAACGCAGGAAAATAGCGCCTCGTCTCTCTTACCTACTCTCATCCACAGCTTACCTAGGCAATACCTCGCGCACAGG